AATCATTATAGATAGATATTTTATTCAGGGTTTCCACAGTCTTACATCATTTCAGAATTCCCTGACTTTTAACTGACTCAGGATTAGTTTTCCCTGACAAAATAAATGCAGCAACAAGACAATAATAACATAACAGGTCACCAATCTAACATGTTTAGCTCTATAACATTTAAATGCATCTCTCCAATGTCTAAGAGAAAAAAATGTAATGAAGACTGCCATATGATAGCCATATTTACACTGTGCGCATGGCATACAATTATGCCAATTTTCCTAATCCCTGACCGATCATTTTTAATCTAGGGTTATCTGGGTGGGGGGTGAAATGGGTGGAGAGTAAAATAGGTGGTGGGTGTGTTACTCTACTTACTATTTTTATGCCTTGTTTTTTTAGCCTGCCAAGTTGAAAAAAATGTGTCTCATTCGCGCCAATTCCCGAACAAAAATCTGGCGGAAAAATCTCGCGGCTTTTACAAATCACGCGGCAATGTGTACAAAACAACAAAAATTGTGGCGGCGACATTTGTGGGTCCTTTTTTAAGTGAATGTCAGTGATTTTAAAGTAATTTTGAGTGATAAATTATTTTTTGCGATCATTGCACTTGCCCGGCGGGCAAATGCAATGAAGTTTGTACACTCCCGACAATAAAAACTACTTGCCCTGGGCGATCGGGCAATATATATATATATATATATACATATAAATAAAATAACCCAATTTACACAACATTCAGCAGTCTAATGGCAGTGGGGAAGATAAAACGAGAATAAGAAAATATCAGACTAAAACTGGTAGTTGGTTCCACAGGAGAGGAGCCTGATAACTAAAAGATCTGCCTCCCATTCTACTTTTAGAAATTCTAGGAACCACTAGTAAACCTGCAGATTGAGAGCGAAGTGCTCTGTTAGGAACATAAGGAACAATCAGATCTCTGATATCAGATGGAGCTTGGCCATTTAAGGCTTTATATGTGAGAAGGAGGATTTTAAATTCTATTCTTGATTTAACAGGAAGCCAATGAAGAGAAGCCAGGATAGGAGAGATATGATCTCTCTTTTTCATTTTCATCAGAACTCTGGCTGCAGCATTTTGGATCAGCTGAAGGCTTTTAACAAAGTTTGTGGACTTCCTGATAGTAAAGAATTACAATAGTCCAGCCTTGAAGTAACAAATGCATGGACTAGTTTCTCAGCATCACCCCTGGACAGGAGATTTCTAATTTTTGCAATGTTCCTCAGATGAAAGAAAGAAATTCTAGAAACCTCTTTGATCTGGGATTTAAATGACAGGTCCTGATCAAAAATAACACCGAGAATCTGAAATCAGTTTAATCCCATCCAAATGAAGTGACTGGCTAATCAGCTTCTTTTTCAAAGACTCTGGTCCAAAGACTATAACTTCTGTTTTATCTGCATTCAGAAGGAGAAAGTTAAGAGTCATCCAGGTTTTTATGTCTTCAGACATGCCTGTAATCTATGTAATGGATTAGCTTCATCTGGATTATAGACAGATATAGCTGGGTATCATCAGCATAACAGTGGAAATTAATCCCATGCTGTCTAATAATTCTACCAATTGGGAGCATGTATAAAGTAAAGAGAATTGGTCCTAGCACTGATCCCTGTGGTACTCCACAGGTAACCTTTGAGCATGAGGAAGATTTATCATTAACACCAACAAACTGAAATCGGTCAGATACAATTTAAATAAACCAGTCTACTGCGGGTTCTTATAATTGCTAAAAAATATCAAGTCTTTCTAAAAAAAAATATTGATCAACTGTATTAAATGCAGCAGTGAGATCTAACAAGACAAGCACAGATAAAGTCCATTATCTGAAGCCATGAAAGTAAAGATAGCAGCAAGACTCAAGCAAAATATCAAATAAAAATTCAATAATAGGGTTCAACCATCTGACAACTCCTTTATGTCATCTATTGGAGTTGTTTCAATTGGTCTGGTCAAATTAGTTTACTTCTTTTTTTCAGCGCATTTTAATTTGGTTTGGTCAAATGTCTTTTTCTTCTGCAGTGATACGGCTGAGTTACTTTGCTCTTCTGTAATGGGGAACCCAGACCAGAGTTCCCAGATGAACAAAAACTTGCCTTTTTTACCGTGTCCAGAATGGGATACTGCATTTCCATTAGTGGGGGAACGGTTCACAAAATCCACGGTTCAGTTCGGTTCACGGTTTCGTGGTCACGGTTTTCGGTTCGGTATATGTTGTTTGTTAGGAAAATCTATTATGTCTTGAATAGTACAACACATGTTGCACAATGCTTGCACACTGTTGCACTTTTATCCACAACTGTCTTTCCGCCGTCATCGTAGGTCACTCTAAATGCAAAGGTCCCATACAGCAGACCTATAAAGTGCTGCTGGAGAACCGAGACAGTCGAACCGAACGGTTTGGACGGTTTTCATAAACTGTTCCTTCCCTAATTTCCATGTAAGGGGCTGAAGGTGATCACCTCATAATCCAGGCCTTGCAGTCCCTCCTGCCTCCAGTACAGTCTAGATCAGGGGTGCCCAACCTTTTTTAAACCAAGATCTACTTTTGAAGTTGTCTGCATGCCGAGATCTACCAAGCCAAACACAAGGGATGGGCAGTAATTGTTTTTTTATTTGCACAGGTGGAGAATAAACAGTAAATCCAACAAACGGGGAAATGATCAAGTGTGTCAAAAAATAGGTTGCAAAAACAGAAGTTAACAATCTCATAAGAACTTCACAACATATCACTGACTCACTCACTCACTCACTCACTCACTCACTCACTCACTCACTCACTCACTCACTCACTCACTCACTCACTATAGAAAAGAGCAGTCAAGATCTCCAGACAAAGGCTGTGCGGTCAAAAAATCTAAAAAAACAAATTGATCCACACACAGTCCAGTAGAGATGGAAAAAAAACGAACTATAAATTTACAGTCATATGCAGAGGTGGAAAAAGTACTAAAATATCATACTCAAGTAAAAGTACCAATACTTGGATACAATATTACTCAAGTACAAGTAAAATTACCCATCAGAAAAATTACTCAAGTAAAAGTAATAAGTAGCTGATGTAAAATGTATTTTAAGTAAAAGTTACGTAGTTACATTAAAAACAACTGTTGAACGGGGCAGGGGATCTCTCCCATGTAGTGAAAATAGGACAAGGAGTCATAAATCCAAAACTATTTAGTTTTTAAATAAAGAAAAATCTATACAAATGTATACACATGTAATGACAAGATAACACATGTCACACTAGATGTGGAGTTATTGAATGCTGCCAGTTCAGTCACCTTTGGCAGACACGTCTGGCATTGCATGATGATACTGTTGGCCCTCTTGGATTTAAATGAAAAGCAGTCTTTCAAATGTGGCCAAGGATTTTCGTCGTTTTGGGCAGCAGAATTCGATGTTTCAGCTAGCATTTCTAGTGAAACGTTCTCTGAACCGTCGTCGCTCTCCTGATCCACCTCCATCTCGTTCCCAATCTCCTACAGAAAGACTTGGCGCCTGGTAGCCTAGATCTACATGCTGATCACGTCACTCGCTGTAGTGCTTCCGGGCCCGGTTTTTTGTCTTCCTTTCGGTTTTCCAAAGTTTTTTTTTACTCAGTAACGGATGGGATTTGTAATGTAACGAAATACAATACTTCACTCAAAATGTAATCAAGTAAAATTTAAATTACCGATTTTAAAAACTAATTGAAAAATACAAAATACACAAAAAACCTACTCAATACAGTAACTTGAGTAAATGTATTTCGTTACTTTCCACCTCTGGTGATATGTTTATATCACTGTTTATACATATATATGTAGTTTACTACTTTTCAAGGCTGCACTATAAAAAATATGAAATTGTCCAGAGAGCTGTTCCAAACTAAATTTCCTTTTTGTTTTACACTTTGTAAACAAAATTACAAATAAAATCTAAGTCTAAGATCACTTCAAAGCAGGAAGAAGAAGGGAAGTCCGCTATTTCAGAATGATAAACTTCACTGGGCGTTGGCAGAGAAACTGTCCGATGGTTTAAAATTCAACAGGAAAACAGATAAAAATAGGAAAATACTAAGTACAAACTATGTGGATGTGAAGATGTAACAAACAGCAGAATGGGTTGTTGACTGTTTCAGAAACTCTTTAATTTCGGCAAAAGTTCCAAAAATCTTTGGAAGAATCCGCCACAGCTCAGCCGCCTGACGTCGATGTGTGGCAGCAGATCAGGGTGGTCTGCACCTGCCTCCTCCAGCTGGCAGGAATAAACGCCTCTGTAAACTCCCGGCCCGAACAGAGCAAGTGATTTTCATCACAACGTCCATGACATGCTTCATATTTAAAATACTGCCGCACAGCTGCTGTTGATGAATGATGCAGCGGTAGCTCCAAAAATCATTTCAGACAGCTTGAACAGAGCAACGAATCCAGCAGTGCGCCCAACCATAGATGGAGCCCCATCAGTGGTGATAGATGTCATTATCTCATTAACTCTTCAGATTCCTCTTCGCGATTTAGAGTCCCTGGTAACCTAGGAACCGTGGCAAACCATGCCCAGCAATCAGCATGCATTAAAAAAGGTTCCCTGCAGACTTTTTACTTTTCATTTTATTATTATGAAAATAGACGTTGGACTCGTGTTCAATGATTTGATTAGTGTTTTTTTAATTAATTGATTTTTTTTTTGTCATAGCCATAAATAGGTCTACATTGTAAAACTTCTCGCGATCGACTGAAACTCCCCCCACGATCAACTGGTAGATCGCGATCGACTGGTTGGGCACCCCGGCTTTACAGGATCCACTCGCTCCTCAAACTGAAGGACAGAGTTTGGTGCTTTTATGTGAGGTGTCCTTTATTTACCCACCAATAGAAAGTCTTTCTGCTGTGTCTGTCTTTCAGACTGCCTGCAGGATTATGTTGGAAAAGAGGAGGATTTCTCTGACCAGCACCTCTGTGAACAGGAGAGGAATTCCAGTTTGGACCAAGAGGAACCAGAAGCTCTGCAGGTGAAAGAAGAGCAGCAAGAACCAGAACATCCCTGGAAAAAAGAGGAAACCATGGAGCTCCCCATAGGTGAGCATGAAGAGCAGCTTGTTCTGAAGTAGGAGATTGAACAGAAACCTTTCCCATGTTTGACATGTGGAGAAACATTTCTGAAAAAAGAACATTTAATGGATCACACGGGAATTCACACAGGTCAGAAGATTTATGAATGTCTTGACTTGATAGGCACATCAGATGATTAAACAAGAATTTCTCCAAGGCCTCCTTTACTAAAACAGTGGTCGATTTATGACACTTGATCATTAATGTGCAAGAGCTTAGAGAGCAACAGGTGAGGCAATTCTCAGCAGGCATCCTCTTCTTCTCGTAATACCGATCAGCAAAAAGCTAAAGAGCTATTCCACCTTCTTACAATCTTAAGTGTTGGTAATCTGCTCTTCTTTAAATCTATAGCAATCAGACGCTTCAAACCTGGCTTATATTATTCCAAGTAGGGCTGGGCGATAAATCAAATTCGTTTATTTCATGTTTTCATAAAGGCCGTGAGTTGAAATGTTTCTAAAAACAAAATCGAGGAAGCCTCTTCTTCTGCATTTTTTACTTGCATGTTAGCTTCTCTTCCTCTTTCCTCCATCCGCCTGATAGCATCCTGCTCTGTTAACTCACGCCATGGCCGCTGCTCAATCTGAAGAGTTGGTACCAGGGACGTGGCTAGACCTATTTTAGGGTGGCTGAAGTCATCCCTTCGTTGGTATTAGCCACCCCATAATTATTTTGCGATTTTTATTGTTATTTTTTTATTTATTGATTTTTTTTCCATATAACCCCAAACAATTGCAGTAAAGCACTGAAAACGAGCCACCAAGAAGGCAAGTTAATCTGAAGATAAGTTCCTGTTAGTTTATTTACAAACACAATTATTTATACAATTATTAATATCGTTAGGATATTCATTTCCTTCATTGGCTCCGCGTCCAGCGTCACGTCACGTGGTACACGGCCATCAACTGGACCATAGCAGCTGTGCAGTGCAGCAACAGCGCGCCCTTTGAATCTCCACACAGTCATCGAGCTTGATTAGGAAAGTTATGGTTGCGTGCAGATACATACGGTGAGTTTGCCATTTGATGTCAGCGGTTTACATTTTCTTCACTTTACCTGGAGTGAGGAAAGAGACAATATAGGCCTAATAGCTTGTCTGATTCAGTAGGAATTACGTTACCATGGTGAACAAAGTCAGTGGTGTGGGAAAACACGATGTTGTTGTAGCCTACTAGCATCATTATAATAGTTTTGTCACAGGAGCAGTGATGGGCAGTAGCGCCGCTACATGTAGCGAAGCTATTAGTTTAACTACATTTTCAAGTAGCTTGACCGTAGCGTCGCTGCTTTATTTATCAAGTAACTTTCCTGTAGCGACGTTATTGTTTTGATCAAGTAGCGACGTAGCGTCCACAAACGCTACAAAATCCAGGGCAAAACTAAGAAATGAAACCAGGTTTTCTATTTCTAAACAACAATCAGCCACAAAACTACTGTAAATAGCAGTTTCAGCTGACGCTTTATAAGTGGCGTAGTAGCACAGGCACACTCCGTAGGGTTAAACAAGCGCACCTTTTCCGAGGCTGTCGTTCTATTGGCTGGAAAGGTTGCTAGGCAACGGTCCAACTGCAGTCTGAGAGAGCAAAACAAATCCGCAAGCAGAGCGTAACTGAGACCCGTGCAGAGCGGAGATGGAGGCAAGCGAGAGGAAAAAATATCTGTGATAATATAGAAAATATCTGTTTAAATCTGAGAGAAGAAACAAAGATTTTTGAGAGAAGAGAAAATATTTGAGAGAGAGCGCATGTTTTGAGTGTGAGCATTATAAGTTTTGAGTGCAAGAAGATGAAATTCTTTTCTCTAATTGAAGTTATGTGCTCTTGCATTATGGCAGGATAATTCTCCCATATCTATGTGCCACCAGTCTGATAGGGCGACACTGTGTGATATGGTAGTGCTTCCTTGGGTTGACTATAGTTCTAAGTTGTACGTTTCATATACTGTTGATTTTGTGTTTTCATTAATACATTGTACTTAAAAATACTTCCTTTATTTGCATTAAAACTTTGTCAGACTGATGTGAAAAAGTCTCAAGGATATCCTTCTTTGCAATGATGCTATTGCCTATTGCCTACTGTCCATTTATGCAACTTGTATTTTGTGGTTAAACTTTAGATTAAGCAGAAATCTATCAAAGATAATGCTGCATTTATTGTTAAGTTCCTCACATATATGTGTTTCTCTCTGTGCCAGGTGTAGAGAAAGACATGCCAAAGTCCAGGTCACACACACACACCAAGCACACACACAGAAACAGGGTTATTGCAAAGCAGACAGGGGTTCCTGACAGGTTGTGGGTGCAGGGGAGATGGGGAAAGATGAATGGCCAGGTTAAGGGTTTATGAAGATGTTGGGAGTCTGTTGGTTAGACAACTGTCTTCTGTAGAAGGTTTCCATTATGATGAGTGGCGAACCACTTGCCTTCTTCCATTTATGCAGTAATGCATGGCACCTATCATTTACTCTTTGTAATTTAGCACATTTTAACTGGTGTAGTTTAGTTGGTGAAGTAGCATTAGTGAGGGAAGTGTTTCCCAGGTATGTTGCTCTTAAAATAAGGAATTTATAGACAGCGCCTTAGAAAGTGCACTGAAAAAATTTCGGCGCGCGCTAAGCGCGCGCAATATCTTACCTAGGGGCTAAGCCACCCATGTCTCTCAAACCTAGTGACGGCCCTGGTTGGTACAGAGAAAAGGGACTCCTGTTTCATCCATTAGTTAGAAATTATTCGGCTTTGACAAGGCCGAGCTGGAGCAGACTGCAGTTATCAAAACCAAGACTAGCAGCACAACTAACTTGTTTCAGCAAGTTCAGCAACATAAAAAATAAGTGAAATAACGGTAAATGTGGATATAGTAATCAACCGCTTATAGTGTTCAAATTGGCTCTGGACCAACGTGACCACAGTTACAATCAACTCTCCTTGATGTTACCGGAACTACACTGCTTTGAAGACACACCCCTCCAGCATAGGTTTTAAAAACGCTAGCTCCCCATATTAGCATCCTATTTCGCCAGGGGTTCATGCAGCTCAAAGGGTTCATTCAGCAAAGACAGAATGCTAGATAAAGAGCTGGATTAGACCAGAATGGAATGTATCTCTGGCTTTCTGAAGTGCTTCTCCCTTTTATTTTGGCTTTCTGTGATAAATGTGTGTGCATACCCTCGTTTGGGGCTTATCAATAGGGTCACAGTGTAGCTGGTGACTCCACTGGTCTGAGAATGTTGCAAATACCCAGTTCCATCCCCACAGCCTCTGCTCTGGGTCTCTGAGCAAGACCATTAACCACCAATTGCATATTGGTAGTCCACTGCTCCCCAAGGGGATGGATTAAACGTAGAGGTACATTTCTCCAGTGTGAGATCAATGAAGTAAAAAGAAAAAAATAATAATCCTAGATAGTAGAGAAAAAACAAAACAAAGGAAAAACAGTTTTAACATTGTTTGAGTGGTTAATGGTTAAGATTCTGCAGGGAATCTGATTTTAAAGCTTTGATGATAAAAGTGGAGGTCAAAACCTTACCAGATGATGGATAATCAACCAGTTGTTGTAACCTGTGATTGTAATGTCAGAGCTGCAGTGTATGCTGGGAGGTGTAGTTTCAATCTGTTTATATGTAGTTAGATCAACGCAAGGATGAGTAACATGAAGTGTCCTTTATTTAACCACCAATAGAAAGTCTTTCTGCTGTTTCTTTCCAGACCACCTTCAGGATTATGTTGGAAAAGAGGAGGATGTCTCTGACCAGCAGCTCTGTGAACAGGAGAGGAATTCCAGTTTGAAGCAAGAGGAACCAGAAGCTTTGCAGATAAAAGAAGAGCAGAAAGAACCAGAACATTCCTGGACAAAAGAGAAAGCCATGAAACTCCCCATAAGTGAGCATAAGGAGCAGCTTGTTCTGAAGCAGGAGGCTGAAGATATAGGGGAGAAACCTTTCCCATGCTTAACATTGGGAGAAAACTTTATGAAAAAAGAACATTTAATAGATCATATCAGAATTCACACAGGTGAGAAGTCTTTTCAATGTCTGTCCTGTGGAAAAAGCTTCACCTCTAATTCTGAGCTTGATAAACACTTCAGAATTCACACAAGTGAGAAACCTTTTTCTTGTATGATTTGTGGCAAAAGTTTTACTTTTAAAAGTCATTTGACTAAACACATGAGAATTCACACAGGTAAGAAGCCTTTCTCCTGTACCATTTGTAAAAAGAATTTCACTGAAAAGGCTAGTTTGACTTCTCACATGAGAATTCACACAGGTGAGAAACCTTTTTCCTGTCCCATTTGTAAAAAGAATTTCACTCAAAAGAGTAGTTTGACTTCTCACATGAGAATTCACACAGGAGAGAAACCTTTTTCCTGTCTCCTTTGTAAAAAGAATTTCACTCAAAAGGGTAGTTTGACTTCTCACATGAGAATTCACACAGGTGAGAAACCTTTCTCCTGTACCATTTGTAAAACGAATTTCACTAGAAAGGGTCATTTGACTTCTCACATGAGAATTCACACAGGAGAGAAACCTTTCTCCTGTACCATTTGTAAAAAGAATTTCACTCAAAAGGGTAGTTTGTAGCCTGGGTGCCAGTCCGAACTTAGTCCCGCCCACAAGGTTTGAGTTCGGGGAAGTTCGGTCTGGCTCTGCTCCATAGTAGCGCGAGTATTAAAGCCCACTGTCAGGCGATCCAATCAAATTGTCAGGGCGGGCTTTATACGATGATGGACAGATGATCAAGAGTAACGTTATCAACCACGTGACCAAAGCGCGCTTGGGTGACAACAATAATGGCTGCCTCTGGAGAGTTTGGGTGAGTAGATTCTGCTATTAGGTCTGTTCTAGAAGATATCGACAGCAAATTAATTTTAAAAGAGGAACAGAGAAACGCGATCAAGTCTCATCTTCTTATTCTAGGCGTGAAACTGCACGCTTTGATTTTTGTGGACAACAACTATGCCTCGCTTAACATACGTCACGCACTCCGTTGCTCTTATTGGTTGTAGGTCTATCCAATTGAGTGCAGAGGCATTTTTTTCCTGGTTCGTTCAAAACACGCCCCATAATCACAGCTCTATGGAGCAGCATCAGACTCATATTCTGACTAGAATTGAGTCGGACTACGTCAGGCTAGGTAGTTTGACTTCTCACATGAGAATTCACATAGGAGAGAAAACTTTCTCCTGTACCATTTGTAAAAAGAATTTAACTAAAAAGGGTAGTTTGACTTCCCACATGAGAATTCACACAGGTGAGAAACCTTTCTCCTGTACCATTTGGAAAAAAGTATTTTACTGAAAAGGGTAGTTTGACTTCTCACATGAGAATTCACAGTGGTGAGAAACCTTTTTCCTGTCCCATTTGTAAAAAGAATTTCACTCAAAAGGGTAGTTTGACTTCTCACATGAGAAATCACACAGGTGAGAAACCTTTCTCCTGTACCATTTGTAAAAAGAATTTCACTAAAAAGGGTAGTTTGACTTCTCACATGAGAATTCACACAGGAGAGAAACCTTTCTCCTGTACCATTTGTAAAAAGAATTTTACTGTAAAGGGTAGTTTGACTTCTCACATGAGAATTCACACAGGTGAGAAGCCTTTTGAATGTCTGTCCTGTGGAAAAAGCTTCATTCAGAAATCTCAACTTGATAGACATATTAGAATTCACACAGGTGAGAAGCTGTTCTCCTGAATGATTTGTGACAAATGTTTTAAATGAGAAAGTCATTTGAGTATTCAGATGACAATTATTCATGCATGATCTGTAATGATTTATATAAAAAAAACATTGATTTCACATAAGTTACAGCAGGTAGACACCACAGGAATGAAGAGCAGAAGCGTTTTGCATGTTTGACTGGTGATAATTTCTTCATCTATAAACTGCTTCACGCCATTGTATGAGAAACTCACAGATTAATGGTGTTTTTTGAACACTGTTAATTAATGGCTTTTTTGATGAAGCCATTAATTAACAGCTATGTTTACATAGAAAATAGAACATATAAGGTGTTATAATGTAAACCTGGTAAATATTCACATCCTGGGTGAATATGTGGATGTGAACATTTAAAAATTAATTATTTTGGGCCTGAATAAATTAGATTTAAATGGCTGTAAAAAAAAAAAAGAATGTCGCCTTAGCAAAAAATAGATGCTTAAATTCACAGCTTCTTACTTTTTCTTTGGAATGAAGTGATGAAACATAATAAAGTGGAACAACAACATCTTGGTTACAGATGAAGCAAGTTTGCTGTCCATAGAACAAGCAATTGAGAAGTTATAGATGTTATAGAAAAACAATCCAGAAGGACCCCTGCTGTGCCATTTTGGTATGATGTGGCACGATTTCTTCTGAATGAATTTATTCAACAACAACAACAAAAAAAACTCAGACGTTTTATTTTTAAGACTTAGAAACTTTTAGCTGAAAGACTGCTATTGGTTAGAGATATTCAAGAAACAAACTTTTATTCTGGTGAAAAAAAAGCAAAGGTAGGATAGATTTAATGTGCTTTGCTCGGTTTTGCTGATCTTTTTTTTGGGACGATTTTTTTTTTTTAAGAGGTCAGCTGCAAATGATCAGAGTTTAGCTACCGTATTTTCACGACCATAAGGCGCACCGGACTAAAAGGCGCACTCTCAGTTATGTGTCCCATTTCTGTATTTAACACACACATAAGGCGCACCGGACTATAGGGCGCGTTTTTTATATACAGGTACATGTCCTCTACTACGTTTAAATACCTCTACTGCGTATTTAAAAATACAGCGGGGGCAAAACTGAGTATGACTGCTTTATTCATGTATTTATTACAAAGTATTAATCAAACCTGGGAGCTGGCCGTGAGACAGACACATCGCAGATGACACAGCGCTGTGATCACTCCTAAATTAACTTAAAATCCTGAAACCTGCCGACGGAATTTGTTCGCTTTTATTACCAGTATCCAGGTGCCTGCAGTTTAAATTATTTAGATGAAAAACACCTGCCAGCCACCGCGTGAACCCGGAGGCTGCCCAGCCTAGAGGCTGCTGATGAAAGGATTCCTACTGTCGGTGCACCGCTGGTATGTGGGGGTCTGAGCGCCTCCGACAGAAATAGATAATCTGGATGAACTGACTGCAATTATTAAGTTTTCAGGTGGACTTTCTCACTTAAAAACATAATAAAACTACTTAATTCCCACTGATCACAGCAAATATAGCTGCAAGATTTAGATTATTTAGATGAAAAACACCTGCCAGCCACCGCGGTGAAGAGGAGGAGACCCGGCCCAGAGTCTGCTGTTGAATTAAGTTTTCAGGTAGAAAAATAGAGCGGGAGCAAAACTGAGTATGATTGTGCTTTATTCAAGTATTTATTACAAAGTATTAATCAAACCCATCAAAGTCATCATCCTCTGTATCTGAATTTAACAGCTGCGCTAAATCAGACATGCCAGTTTCCCCTTCTTCGCTGTCAGTCACTTTCCGTGCAGCGCGGCTCCTCAGAAATAATGCCTGCTTTTGCGAAAGCTTGAACAACAGAGCCAGCAGACACGTTAGTCCAAGCATCAACAATCCATCCGCAAACGGTGGCGTAACTTGCCCGGCGCTGCCTTCCACTTTTCCTGAAACTGTGGTCTCTGTCGGCCATCCATCGCTCCCACGCCGCTCGCAGCCTTACTTTGAACGGCCGCTTCACACCGATGTCGAGCGGTTGAAGCTCCTTTGTCAGACCCCCCGGGATAACGGCGAGCACAGCGTTCATTTGATTCATCTTTTTTTCACATCGGCTGTGAGATGGGCACGCAGCGATGGTGATGCGTGGAAAAAAACACCTGGTCTCCTCACATACACCTGCCTCAGCCACGCTTTCATCATCTCCTCATCCATCCAGCCTTTTCCATTTGCGTTAATATCATATGTCATCAGAGCGCTGTGTCTGTCTCGCTGTCAGCTCCCAGATCAGCTTCTCTGATTGGTTGATGCGGCGCGTCCAGCAGCAAAACTTCAATTTTTCCATCTCGAGCAGCAGCAGCGCGTTGGCAGATGCTTAAACGCTCCTGCTGCACCAAAACGCGCTGCAGGACCTTTTGCTGCACCTATATGCGCGTCAACCATTAACTTTGCATGTAAACTCGCTGCTTCTGCTGCACCTGCTGCGTCCGGTTCACAGCGAGCACAGCGTTAATTTGTTTCCCCATGTTTTTCACATCAGCTGTGAGATGGGCACGCATGGAGTCACAGATTAATGGTGATGGTGATGAGTGGAAAAAAAAAACACCTGGTCTCCTTACATTCAGCCACTCTTTTATCATCTCCTCAATGAGGTGGTCTCAAAAGTCGCAGTTACAACACACATAGGGCGCACCGCACCATAGGGCGCACTGCACATTTTGAGGGAAAAAAAAGACGTTTAAGTGCGCCTTATAGTCGTGAAAATACGGTAATTGTCTTGTTGGCTTTCATTAGCAATGCATCAATCAGCCCTGCTACGTGTGTTGTTGAAACCAGGCCCACCAAAACTCCAACTGTTTTAGCCACAGTGTTAGAGCTATGGTCAATAGATATTAGAATGAAGTACACTACCGTTCAAAAGTTTGGGGTCACCCAAACAATTTTGTGTTTTCCTGAATAGTCACTCTTATTCACCATCATACATTGTGAAACAAATAGAAAATAGAGTCAAGACATTGACAAGGTTAGAAATAATCTTGTATTTGAAATGAGATTTTTTTTTTTACATCAAATTGTGCTTTCTTCAAAGAATCCTCCAAGTTGGATTGGTTGGATGGGCACTTCTTGCGTACCATACGGTCAAGCTGCTCCCACAACAGCTCAATGGGGTTCAGATCTGGTGACTGCGCTGGCCACTCCATTACCGATAGAATACCAGCTGCCTGCTTCTGCTATAAATGGTTCTTGCACAGTTTGGAGGTGTGTTTAGGGTCATTGTCCTGTTGTAGGATGAAATTGGCTCCAATCAAGCGCTGTCCACTGGGTATGGCATCGCGTTGCAAAATGGAGTGATAGCCTTCCTTATTCAGAATCCCTTTTACCCTGTACAGATCTCCCACCTTACCAGCACCAAAGCAACCCCAGACCATCATATTACCTCCACCGTGCTTAACAGATGGCCTCAGGCATTCTTCCAGCATCTTTCCATTTGTTCTTTGTCTCACAAACGTTCTTCTTTGTGATCCAAACACCTCAAACTTGGATTCAACTGTCCACAATACTTTTTTCCAGTCTTCCTCTGTCCAATGTCTGTGTTCTTTTGCCCATCTTAATCTTTTTCTTTTATTGGCCAGTCTCAGATATGGCTTTTTCTTTACCACTCTGCCCTGAAGCCCAGAATCCGCAGCCGCCTCTTCACTGTAGATGTTGACACTGGTGTTTTGTGGGTACTATTTAATGAAGATGCCAGTTGGGGACCTGTGAGGCGTCTGTTTCTCAAACTAGAAACTCTAATGTACTTATCACTTGCTCAGTTGTGCAACGCGGCCTCCCACTTCTTTTTCTACTCTGGTTAGAGCCTGTTTGTGCTGTCCTCTGAAGGGAGTAGTACACACCGTTGTAGAAAATCTTAAATTTCTTAGTAATTTCTCACATGGAATAGCCTTCATTTCTAAGAACAAGAATAAACTGTCGAGTTTCAGATGAAAGTTCTCTTTTTCTGGCCATTTTAGCGTTTAATTGACGCCACAAATGTGATGCTCCAGAAGCTCAATCTGCTCAAAGGAAGGTCAGTTTTGTAGCTTCTGTAACGAGCTAAACTGTTTTCAGATGTGTGAACATGATTGCACAAGGGTTTTCTAATCATCAATTAGCCATCTGAGCCAATGAGCAAACACATTGTACCATTAGAACACTGGAGTGATAGTTGCTGGAAATGGGCCTCTATACACCTATGTAGATATTGCACCAAAAACCAGACATTTGCAGCTAGAATAGTCATTTACCACATTAGCAATGTATAGAGTGTATTTCTTTAAAGTTAAGGCTAGTTTAAAGTTATCTTCATTGAGAAGTACAGTGCTTTTCCTTAAAAAAAATAAGGACATTTCAATGTGACCCTAAACTTTTGAACGGTAGTGTAGATCACCTATAGAGGAGTCTCAGATGAAGATTTGGGACATATAGAAGTGTGTGTCAGTCTCAGAGTTAGTCAGCTACAAGCTAATTAATGTTGCAAAGTAGCTCCAGCCGCCTTGAAAGGGGGTGCTGGGATTATGGGGTTAAACTACGGGACATCAAAGAACTCAGTTTAGAGGCTGGAGTCTGTAGTTCAGGGAAATTGAAGTCCTAAAATGATGAAACATGTTTGTTTAAAAAGATAAACTAGATTGATGTTGCTGTTATTTTACTGATCAGTTTGAACCTGCTTTAACTTGGTAAAAAGCCTTTGTCTTAATAATGTATTAAAGAAATCTGACTCTCCTCTAGAAGTGTGAAGTTTCT